CCTAGAGGGGGGCAGAGACTGTATTTTTAGAAGGGAATGAGCATATTCTCTGAACAACAACGTCAAGCACTCTGCTTGCGTATGCTAGGATTATTGTGACCGGGCTATTTTTAAGCTGTGTGTGTGTGAGAGTGCTTTTTTCTGGGTCAAGTATGGTGCCAGTACTCTCTCTCGAGGCTGCTGGTGGATTATGCATTACAGGTCCTATGCTGTGCACAGCATCTGCATCGGTCACAAAGGAAAGAGTCAGAGAGATGGGTTTAAACCATCAGGGAGTTACAGCATTTTTAGAATGAGTCTGTGTCTGCAGCGCTGCTGTAAGGGAGACGTATTGATTGTTTTTGTGGAGCAATGAGACATTCTTGAAATCAGCTAACTCAGAAGGCCTCATTAATCCAAAGTGTATCATCAAAGGAGAAGATACTGCATACTAAATCTAAGTATCTGCATCACACATGAATTGACATGACTACTAAACACAGACAAAATATGTAACAAACACATTTTTGTGTGTTTGGGTGTGTCTGTCTTTGGCTGTGGCTCCCATGAGCCAGAACAGGGGAGAAACTACTACTAAAAGCAACGCTGAAACAAAACATGAAAAATTGTTTATTTTAATAGGGGCAACAGATTGATAAATGCTTTTGTCTCTTTTAAACATTTTTGTCCTGTCTATTGGTCAGAGAACATCTGTTAACAACAACCATGTCAGAGACTAGATATTGCTCAAGATTTTTGATTTCTTTTGGTAATAAGTGTTGCCTTTCAAGGTTTTAAAGGCTGCATCACAGTAAAATGATGTAATTTCTTTTACTTACCAGACTATTCTAGCTGTTGTGTTATTTGCTTTTACCCATTTAATCATTAATCAAAAATCTGGTGTAATCATTTTATGAAAGCACCTATAGTCATGGACAATGTTGTTGCAATATCAATATCATGACTGGTTAAAAAATATTGTGATATTTCCTCCATATCCCCCAGCCCTAGACTGTCATATATTCCTAATATTTTAACTAGATAGGACAAATATGTGTATATATGTATGTTATATTGCGTGTGTGTGTGGGTGTGGGTGTCTTTAAGTGCCTGCTTTCAACATGTTTTTGTTTGTCCTCAAACAAAATAAAGCAAAACTGAAATCTGTTTTGTGAAAAGGAAAATTAAGACTCTGAAAACCAAGTAAAGCAAGATTTTGAATAAATATTTCATAAAAAATAATTTTGTGAACTAATGCAAATTGTAATGCTGCTGGTGCTCTCATGACACCAGAATTTCTTACTTTGATACAAGGCCTTGAAAAATATTGATATATGATACCATTTTACGACCACAGAAAGCACAGCTGTATCGATACTGCTGAAAATGAGTATTGAATCCGTTTCACATATTCAGAATTGATATTTTTGGACTATGTCATAATGACTATGTTTCTATGAAGGAAAAAATAGCTTGGGCTCTGGAAAATTGTGTTTGGCCTTTTCCACATTTCCACAGGGTGTCTGTAGGACCTTAAAATGTCTTAGAATTTTCAGTTTCATAAATAAAGGCCTTAAAGTCATGAAATAATCTTAAATTTTAATTTGTGTGATCTTAATTGCCACAAACATTTTATATATTTTGATTTTAATTCCTTTTTGTTATATTGAGTTAAGCTCTTCTGTGTGAAAATCCATATTTCTGATGATACAAGCTAATACTGTCTATTTACTTTATACTTAGACTTTCCTGATGGCAAAATGTAGCTAAACCTAATTCACCCTAATAACCATATTCCTACATAAAACCTGCGTCTGCACTGAACCGCAAGCTAAACACACTCTAAAAACATGAGGAAGTTATTTGTTAAAGTTTAGAACTCATAGCACCTGATTGCCACTCAAAAATAGCACTCATACTCTGAGTCATAATTAAGTCAAATCTGAACACAAAGACATGATACACATATTTTTGGATTCAGTGTGACTTAACCTTTCCAAGGATATTATTATCGCTGAGCAACGTCATGAAAAAATGTCTATAAATCTGCTTAGTAATCATAGAAAAAAGACGCACCTTATAACTGCAGAATTTGCCTGAGAATCGTCACGTTTTTATGTCTTTTTTTTAAGTTGCCTGTTGACAAAATGTATGCCAACCTAACTCTTAAACTTATTTTAAAAAGGTCTTAGAAAGCATTAAATTTAAGTGTCTGACACCAGTAGACACCCTGTAGACATCAGAACTGAAAAAGCCTCTTGGATGGGAGGTGACACGTCTGCAAGAAACTCAAGCAAGTCCAGTTGCCTGTGATATAGCAGTCGTGATTTCCATGACCTGGATGGCTAAGGATCCTCACTGACCTGTTGACGCCCTGTTTCAGATTAATTTATGATCAAGATAATAGTTGGTTACAGCTCTAACAGATAGTAAAAGTGTCATACTCATGTTTGGCAGATGTGCACATAAAGTACATTATTCACATGCATCAGAAATCCCAGTGCCTTCTCATTACTCCAGGCTCCTAATACATCCTTCTGGACAGAGCAATGCTGTGACTGTACGGCGTCCCTCTATGTGCTGTCTCTCTGTCTGTTTCTCTCTCTTTACATACCTGGTGTCACTTCCTTGTACATGGGTTGCCCGTTGGTGGCAGCTGCCTGGACTTTGATTGACGCGGTGGTCATTCTACGACAGATAATCAGTCAGGGAAACAGTCTGTCTTACCGCATGTCACACTGAATTATTTCCAAATTGGTACAGCTGTCACATTGAGCATTGTTTCCCAACAGGAAATTCTCAGAAATACTCTGAAGTTTGTTGCAGCATCAGTTGCAACCCGCATTCAAACTGTCGCCACACTTGAGCCATGCTTCAAGTAGATTGTTAAGCTGTTTATTATCAACACTGTCAACCAGGATGAGCACTGTGACCTTCCCCTCTAAAGCCTGGCACTAACATCTAGAGGCCTCTCGGGCTCCTGAGCCGCAGGCTTTTCTCTGGGCCTCTCCAGGCTAGCCTAGTTTTATCCCGTCTTTCCCAAGAGTGCAGTTATTTTCAGCAAAACGTGGCTTTCTGCTCCGATTTTGTCAACGTCAATTCTGTGTATAGAGCAAAGATATTAAATGAGAAATGTATAGAATATAGAAGACAATGAGAACACCTCCCAGTCTGTTAGTAAGCACCTGCTCCAGGTTGAGAAGTGATACAGGCTGCATATTTGTCCTGGCAATGCGTCAGCGAACTTAGTAGTCGAATGTGTCTTGAGCAGAGAGTTGTGGGGGCGAGCACTCAGTAGATGGTGGACCAGAGCTCTTGCTGACACCAGGAGCCTCACCAAAGCTGGCCTTTGTTCGCTGGATAAGTGACGCAGTGGGAATATTAGTGTGATTAGTGTGATTAGACAGAATGGCCGGGTGCCAGAGCGAGGTGCAGTTTCTGCCACAGGTCAGAAAAGAGTGAATATTGGGGTTATGCAATGCTGTGTAGTCACATTTGGACGGCAAAATATGCAGGCAGTGCCAGGATGGTGTCATTGTCGCCCGTCACATATACAGCACAATACAGTCTCATCAGCATGGTGACCAAGATCATTTCCACTGTGCTGTCACCAGCAGTATCTGAGCACAGACTAACTATCCCTTCATTAACTAGACTTTTAAATCGTTGAATTATTGACAGGGGTGGAGCTGTTTTGCAAAATGCTACATATGCACTTTGGAGAATAGAAAAACATGACCCAGGATTCAGCCTCTAGTGTGAATTGCTTTCTGCTCCAAGTGCTGAAGTTTTACCGAGCTGTGTTTGTTTACAAATATTTAATTATGTGCTTCATCACTCATTTTGAAAGAAGAGATCTGTCATATGTCTCTTTTCTTATTGACTCCTCTTCAGTTAATGTGTCACCTTCGCTGACAGTCCGAACAGTCATGATCTTGTTTTGTACTCGGCTTTGGAGCTGTTCTTCTCTTAGCGGTCAAAAGCAGACTTCTGCAACTCACGCCACCCACACATTGGTTATGTATAGCCCACACCTACCCTTATCTGCCCAGTGGTTTGAAAACAGTGCTTTGTGTAATTCTAAGGCTGCTATTTGTGAAACCTCGATCATGCACAGGGGGCTCTTACAATGTTACGTAATGCTCCCCACTCAACTGTAATCCCTCTTACGCTGATTGAGCCCCCCATGTGATGGTGCTGAAGGTTTGGGAGAGACAGGGTGGCTGTTGGGACCAGTGGCAAGGCACGGGTGCGCTCTGTAGACTCTGGCCACCCGCCCCACTCACACACACACACACACACACACACACACACACACACTGAGCTGTGGCCTGTGTATAAGAAGAGAAGTTTATCCTGGAAAATGCCTTACTTGGATCTGAGACGCTGGATGGAGACACACCGCTGATGCTTGTCCTTAGTGCCAGGGCTCGGACCAGATATACAGTAACTACATTGAGCGTATGTTCTGACTGACACTTCGGCTCTTCTCTCCTCTTCATCTGCGTGTGAGCCAGGAGATTGAATCTTTGTCCTCGGTTATGTGTGGAGGAATCTTGCGGCTTTTGAAAATTGTCTGCATGCTGTTATCTTTTTGCTTGTGATGAATGTTTTTTTGTTGCTGATTGAAGCTGGTTTCTGGATGATGATGAAGAGCTGTTTGAAGAACCATTAACCTTATTTTGGAGATCTGGAAATCAGATCAGGGCTCAGAGCATGTTTTGACTTTAAGAAAAACTACTGACTGGATGCTTGTAGGTATTTATTTTCAGATATATTCACAGCTTACATACCTCATGCTGTTATTTTTTTCTTCCCCTGCAGGAACCGTCAATGTGGACTTCAGCTGGTGATTTGACAAGTCACATATAGGAGCCCCTGAGTCTTTCCTGTCCCCTCTCCCCCCCCCCCCCCCCCCCCCCCCCCCCCCCCCCCCCCCCCCCCCATCCCCCCCCCCCTCCCCCCCCCCCCCCCCCCCCCNCCCCCCCCCCCCCCCCCCCCCCCCCCCCCCCCCCCCCCCCCCAAGATTCACCATGCTTATCAAGGAGTACCGCATCCCCATGCCCATGAGTGTGGAGGAGTACCGCATCGCTCAGCTCTATATGATCCAGGTGAGGTCGCATTCCCCACCAAATTCTCACCCACACACACCTGACTGAAAAAAGACAAGTGGTGCAGAAACCTGGAGACAAAAAACAAGCAGTCATAGAGGAGAAAAATGTACACGGGGTGCGATCGCAGCGTGCCCAATTATGAAATGATTGGTCACACGGTCTGACGTCGATGGAGTAATGGAACAAAGAGAGCTTGTGTGCTGATAGATTATCCAATTTAAACTCTCTGAAGCTGGCTGTTTCCACTCGTCACAGACTGCATGTTTCTTCAGGAGGAGGGAGGGAGGCACCCCGCTTTCACTGCAAACTCGGCGCACACACATACTGCCACGGCGAAGATGGACACACTGCTTTGTCCGTGTCAGACAGTTTCATTTGTCAAACCAGGCCCCGTAGCTGGAAACTGGGGGTCTGTGTAAGGGCTTAAGGGTTTACAGCTCCAAGCAGGAACGGCTGATTTATACAGCTTTAGTTATCCTGTGTGTCGTCATATTTTCTCTTCGTATGACATGTGTACATGAAGGAGAATTTATTTAATCCAGTGGTACTGCCAGGTGCACTGTGAGCAGCAGTACACAGGAGAGGCATTGGGAGCAATCACAATGACTTGGACTGTGATTAAAGCAAATCTGCATTATTTAGCTACTGTTGTTTAGACGTGTTGTCAACATTTCGTCATTCAGGTGCATTTTTTCCCGTTAAAGAATTTTTGTTGTTGGAGGGACATGCTCATCTTGGCACCAAACATTCAGCAGCTGCATGGTTATGTAATGTGTATCCCAAGTGGTTTTACGTTTGTTGAAGAGCAGGTTGAAGTTACAGGCCTGTTTGATCAGGTTGTCACCGAAGGAGTGCTTTCATTGGGAAGTGTGAATCATGACGAGTGTGTGAAATATTCACAGAGGTGCCAAGTGACATCAGCAGCTGAATCTGAATCTGGTAAATGTATGGTTGGTTAATATTAAAGGAATTCTTCACCCATAAAATGTTTAGTTGGATATAACTTACATTGAATTCATGAAGAAAACCTTGGTTTTCTCGCATGCCTTAATGTTGAACAAGGAATCCAAAAAAAACTAAGAAATGATTGATGATTTGAAGTAAAAGGCATTTAACAACAGCAAAACTATATCAAAACATTTCTTGACAGACTTTCACAGAACTTGTGCAGCATAATCCAAGTCTCATTTACCCAGTCGCACGTACTTCCCAAACATGCATTTTTGCTAAAATGCTACTATTTAAAACTTTTTTGCACACACAGTTTTACACAGGGACGGGTAGCATGCCTGGCAAGAGTGCGTGTTTGAACCTGCTCAATGTAATGCACGCGCAGAGTACAAAAATGTGTTTTAGATATTACTGTTTTAGCAAAGATGCATGTGTTTGGGAAGTTCTGAGTGTACGACAAGATAAAATAAAAATTTGATTTTGCTGCATGAGTTGTGTGGGAGTTTGTAAACGGATGTTTTGATATAATTTTGCCGTTAAAAGCGGACCCCTATTATTTCAATTCATCAAGAATTTTCTCTGTTTTTGGTTTCTTCGTTCATCGTGGAGGCATGCAAGAAAATAAAGTTTAATCCAAGAATTTAACACAACACAGGCTGTGTAATTGATATACAAATGATCATTTTGCAGGTGAGGTATTCCTTTAACTTCCCTTTGCAACCAGCACAAAGCAAAACATGGGCTCTGAAGTATCTTAATCCTCCTAAGGATTTACACTCTACATTTATTTGACTTAGGTGATCATACATGGGAGCTGCTTACTGCAGCCCTCAGGGAGCAACTGCACCAGAGAAGTTAAACATATAGTCCTTGCATACAGAAATCCCAGAATGTCTACAAGCTGTTGACCTTCCCCTAGAAAGGCCTCGCCTACATCTGTTAGTCTCACACCCAAATTAATTTAGTGTTTATGTTGACAAAGTCGTCTAAAATAAACATCCACCCACTGGTAGAACAATACTACAACATGAGCTGCAGCTTTGTTCACCTGTATTTACACAAAGGGCCTCTCCTTTTTTTCGTATACTGTGAAAACAGTCTGAGAGTGTTTTTTTTTTCTTTTCTGAATACAAACTTAAAAGATTATTTCTTGTAAGGTTTTATCATTGTAAAGGCATTTTGTTGTCCTGTCTGCACAAATGGAAGTGATATAAGATGATTACAACACATGTCCACAAAGAGTAGATTGGTCTCCAAATAATATCAGATGTTTCCGTTGATTACCGCGGCTGTTTTTTGTCTTCATGCCCTCCCTTCGGTGTACTAAACAGACAGGTAATCAAGTTGATCTGTAGATGGTTGGGAACATGACTCAGCAGTCATGCCCCAAAGCAAGCAGACGTTGCACAGCTCAAACCAGTCACTGCGCCACACTTCTGCACGCTTGATAATTTCTTTGGCACATTAGCTGCTATTGTGGAGAGTTATTAATTATGTGCAACGGATAACTACAGTTATTTGTTTTGACCTGCTTCGCTCCCAGATCTCCTGCATGCCCTGTGTTAGATTTTATCAGACAGGACGTCACACATGTGCAAGCAGAGTGTTAGTCTGTGACAGAAGTCGTTCATGTGTGCATTCTCTAAAACGTAAGTAAATGATATGAAGAGGAATTTTTACATTAGTGACCCATAGTTACCTTTCCCCCTGACCTCACCCTCTCTGCGCAGCCTTGTTGCTGTGAGGCTTCTGCCACTATGGCAACCGTGACATCAGCAGCGTGCCGGTGGTCAGGTTTTGTTCGAGAGACGGAGTGAATGAAAAGAGGAAATGGAGGATAAAAAGAGAGGTTGCGAAGGAGGGAGGGGAAGAAATGAGAGAGGGGTGGAAGGAAAAGAGAGAGAGAGAGCTGGATTCTGAGCAGAGAGGATTTTGCTGTGTCTGTGGATACCCTCGCTTCATTGCTGTATGTTACCAGGGCAACTGCAGCATGTAGGCCTGCCTGCCTGCGATCCATCCCCGGTGTAAGCCTCGCAGATAAAGTCAGGGCCTTAGGACAGCCTGGCCATATCTGCACTTCAGCGGGCAATGCTCCGCCCCGTCTCTCCTCACACTTCCTCTCCTTTGCCCTCACAACGCTGCCTTCTTATTTGGTAGCTAATTGTAAATTCATTATCACTGCATAGGGATTTGCAGTAATGCACAAAGTGGACGAGGAATGTGAGAGAAATTAAATATGAGAAGATCTCACTGTGTCTCATTCATCCGCACACATCCATCATGTTCTGACTAAGCAACTGTATCTGTGGAGTGAAGTGAAAAGAGGCATCTCGAACAGGAAACACGCCTTGCTAACTTGACGGCGAGAGGAGAAAACCAGGATGTGACTCTCATCCTGTCAGAGCAGTCGAATCTAAACACATACAGTCGGCTTTCATGGTGATAGGTTTTATTTGTGAAGGTTTCATGGCTGTTTAAAGAAAGGTGGGTGAGAATGAGAGAGTAAGTGCTAAGTGACAAAGGTTTTAGGGCTGGACTTGAACTCAGAACACAGAAGCACTTACTGAGCCAAAAAGGGTTTTACAGTATAACGGTGTAGATGAGAACACCCCTCCCTTCCCTGTGGAGACCGTCGACACACTTCCAGAGACTCTTGAAAACTGTCTCTTCATTTCAGGTACAGTTTACATTAGTACACAAATAAACAAAGCATACTGTTTTCATTAGAAATCTGACATAATATTCAGTGTTCATTTTACTTAAAGCACTCCTTCACTTCCCTTTTGTCCCTGAGGGAACAGCTGAGCCCTGGCCAATATTTTGTAATCTTTCTCCTGCTGAACTGGAGAGAATCATCCGTCGCTCCAGGAGGGAGAAGACACCGTGTTTGGCAGGCTGCTGTCACCTGTCAGCGCCCTAATTAATCAGACGGTCCGCTGCAAAACACAATGAAACTTATTCCTCTCTTGTACCCAGAGTGCTGGCTCCACATCCAGACATAACTCACCGACATTTGGAGCTGTCTGTATACAAAGGAACAATAATTACATTTGGAAAGCTCAACAGCAGCATATCTTCCCTACTATAATGATAATGGTGCACACAGCAATGCACAAAGCGTATTGTAATCAGTCTAATTGAAAATCCAACTGATAGTACTCGGTGTAAGTGGAAACTAAGATATGTTTTATTGTTTTGGGTGAAATCCTTTACACAGCTTGCTTAAATGGAACTCCAAAATCAGATCAACATATTTTCTCTCTTACCTGTAGTGCTGTTTATCAGTCTAGATTGTTTTAGTGTGTCACTGCACAGAGGAAAGCATGCATCTAAAAATGTGTTTGTTTTTTTATTTTTGGGTGAAATGTCCCTTTTTAAATTTGTTAGCCTGTTCACATGCATCTTCCATGTATATATTTTTGCCGCTTCATACGTGCTTGTATGCGGACTGTAAACTTGACATTCACATCAACTATGCTTGAACATCGCGTTCCTGTCTAGTGTACTGGCTGCATGTACGGCCAGTGTGACGGTGCTGTGGCATCTGTGCTGTGTCTGGGCTGTTGAGAGCAGAGCGGGTGGCTAATGAATGACCTGTCAGAGGTAATGAGGTCCAGAGTGCTGGACGCCTCATGGCTTCCTCCTTCCCACTCCACTGACTCACTGCCTCACCCCCATTGCCTCTCCCCGCTGGACTGACTGGAGAAATCTGTCTCCCTATTATCCCAGCCTGCTCTAAATACTGTGTTTAACGTGCTTCGTGTGTGTTACTCTGTGTAAGTGGAAAGACCGGACTGATAAGAGAATGGGAAAGATGATACATGGGTAATCTCTGACATTTATGGTCCTTGCTCTTTGCTCCCTGTGTTTTTAATAACGTCAGCACTTGGACTATGCTCCGCTGTCCACATTTCCTGTTTTACTGATTTCATAACAATCACACATCTTCTTCTTGCAATGCTACACACTCCTGTCTGAGACGCTTCGGGTCACCTAGCTGTAAGTCTATTCAACTGCATCTGCAGGCTCCACCCAGCCTCTCTTCCTGAGTGCACCTGGAATGTAAATACGGCAAAGGTGTGGCTCCATTTTTTTTTTTTTTTGGGCTTCCTGATTTGCAATTCAGAGTTGACAGAGCTTTCAGGAAGCTATTAATTTCAACGTGTGTATGTGTGTCATCTTGTGTCAGATTCTGATCTGCAAAAGACATCATGTCCATTTGTTTGTTTCAGTTCCTTCTTGAAAATTTGTTTTAGAGTAAGTGTAAATTTACAGTCATACTTTTAAATCTAACACCCCCTTGACACTTTGCTACTTACATGCAAACATTAACACTTTGCCAGTTCACTTCAACCTAATTTCATTGTTCTCCTCACAGAAAAAGAGCAGAGAAGAGAGCTGTGGTGAAGGTAGCGGGGTGGAGATTCTCGAGAACAAGCCCTACACAGATGGCCCGGGTGGGACGGGCCAGTACACCCACAAGGTTTACCATATTGGCATGCACATTCCCAGCTGGTTCCGCTCCATCTTGCCCAAAGCAGCACTGAGGGTTGAAGAGGAGTCCTGGAACGCCTACCCTTACACCCGCACCAGGTGAGGTTTGCAGGAAGGCCACCTCCGCACCCCTTCAGAGCAGGAGTGAGAGTGCACTAAACCTTGCCAAGGCTGCACAAAACTGTAAATTTGTTATTTTAATAATAGAAATGCTCGTGCATGGGCGTCTAACTGCTGCAGCTGGTAGGTGTGCACACATTTAAAGACAAAAAAAACAATCATCCCCCTCCTGTTTATAATTAAAATCCTGCTTACATTTAGTTTAATACACATAAAATGCCGTTAGTGGTGAGTGTGATGATGCCTGGTCTGAAGTTGTGCTGTAGCTGCTGTCCCTCAGTAAAAGCCAAGAGAAATTAAAGACCTCAGAGCAAGTTGTAGCAAGCAGACCATCAGATCGGCGTGTGGCCAGAAGCGCTCACAGGCTGTTAGATGTTGATGGCCCCTCATTCTCAGGGTGTCAGCATGCTCGTCTGTGTGGGGCCCGACAAACACAAAGACATGAAGGTGCTGAACAGAGACGTGCCCTTGACTGTACTGTCAGGATATTGATAGACTGCAAGTGCCTGTTGACACATCTATTCAACCAGTGACAGCTTTGCTGCAGACTCCTCAGATGCAACAGATGGGCATGGCTCACACGTTTCTTATCCTCAGCAGTGAGAGGGTGTTGTCACTCTTAATAACATAGTTCTGATCTTGAGCCATTGGGTTGAGAAGTAAGACTCCAAATCAAGACAGATGTTGAGCCATAATGCAATCTTGCTTTATTTGGACTTTTGTTCCATTGCATTTTACTTGATTTTGTTGCCTCTTCTTCCTCAGATACACCTGTCCCTTTGTTGAGAAGTTCTCCATTGACATTGAGACCTACTACAAGCCCGACACAGGCAACCAAGCAGATGTCTTCAACATGTCTGCAGTAGAGAAGAGGCAGAGGACTATTGGTGAGAACCATTTCGGCAACTTAACTCAGACATTAAAATATTAAATGTTGTGCATCAAGCTACTTTCACAGTCCTCCACATAGCAAGCTTAGTGTAAATACTTATATTTTGAGATTGCAGATCATTATTAGAAAACCAACAAAGCAACCAATGACATTTTCTTGCAATATTGATTTAAGGTGACTGGTTAGTTTAAGTAGGTTTAGTCTGATGGGGTCTTGACACGGTCTTGTTGCAGGTGAGGCCCACTTGTGGCAGTTTAGTGGTACTGCATATGTTTTTTTCTGTTGATAAGTGGCATGGCTATTGAATATGGAGCTGCTCAGAAATGAATGGTTTTAGGGTATGCAGTGGCCCCATTACAACACTGATTGTAATTTTTTTAATGAGTGATTTATTCTTGTATGTTTATAGCAGCTTGAACTTCACTTATTAAAAGAATTTCAAGTATTTTAACACAAGTCCATACAAGTGCTTCTTCTCTCAACCCACTTATGTACTTTTGTATTTCAGCATGGTATTATAGACACACAATATGTAACATATTTCATGCAATACATTTTGAGAATACCTAGCTCCACTAGTCATTGCTTTCTCAATTTTCTTTGGCAGACCCAATCGACATAGTGACAGATCCCATTCCCCCTCATGAGTACAAAGCAGAGGAGGACACACGGCTCTACAAGTCGGCGAAGACCCAGCGGGGTCCTCTGCGGGACGACTGGATAGAAGAGTACAACAATAACCCAGGGAAGACCCCCATCATGTGTGCCTACAAACTCTGCAAGGTGGAGTTTCGCTACTGGGGCATGCAGTCTAAGATTGAACGCTTTATCCATGATGTTGGTGAGTATGCAGTCACAGATTTATAGTGTTTTTTCTAATGTAGTAGTTTTACTAACAGCATATATTTTGACAGGAATGTTATCTGATTTATATCAAACCTTTTGAGTTTTAGAGGATGCTGTGACATATGTTTCATTGTTTCCTCCTAGGACTGAGAAAGGTGATGGTGCGTGCCCACCGGCAGGCCTGGTGCTGGCAGGATGAGTGGTACGGTCTGACCATGGAGGACATCCGGCAGCTGGAACTGGAGACCCAGCTGGCCCTGGCCACAAAGATGGCCCAATTCAGTCAAGCAGAAGAGGCCACAGAAGCCAACGGCGGTGCTCCGTCTCCGGACAAAGACCAGGAGGCTAAAGAGGCGATCAGCTCCATTGAAGCTGAAGAGGTGGTTGTCAGCTCAGGAGGAGAGACTCTCCAGCCACGAGGTGTACTCACCAAGCAGTGGTCCACTTCATCCAGATCCTCCCGCTCATCAAAGAGAGGAGGTGAGGAGCACGGCATCGTTGCCTATTCATTCCTCGCCTCTGTGTGAGACTGCGCTGTCCTGAGCCGTACTCCTTCCTTCACACATTATCACATCTATAATTATCACACCTTTAAATCTTATTCGTTCAGTCTGCCAGCGGACTCCTTACCACCTTAAAGGTTTTGGTATGCCAACAACAATGTCAAACAGTTCCATAAGTAAACACGGCCACTTGTGATATTTGAGACGTGTCCACACTTGCAGCCAGTATGTGAAGAATTCAGTAAGGTCAAGCCCGCGCAAAGCTAAAATAGCACTCTGCTCTTTCTGTTTGTATCAGTGTGTCATTTCTGTGTAGTAAAGTGCTAATCCTCCCAAAATGAGTGTTTTGAGTATCAAATACTGACCCCCCCTGTTAGTTTCTTAGTTTGATACTTGAAAGATCTGACTCTATAAGAAGTGGATTGACATCAGCAGGTTTCATTTGAGGGCGGCACGTTGTTTCTGTGTAGCTTGGCAGCAAGAGGGTACCGGTTTTTAACCTACCCACGGGCTAGGGACCTTCTTGCGTGGAGTTTTCATGTTCTCCCTTTGTCAGTGTGGATTTTCTCTGGGTTCTCCGGCTTCCTCCCACAGTACAAAGACATGCAGGTTAATTGGTTACTTTAAATTGCCCGTAGATGTGAATGTGAGCTTTATTGGTTGTCTCTATGTGTCAGCCCTGTCCAGGGTGTATCCTGCCTGTCTCAACTTATGGCCTAATTCACTATAAAAAATAAACTGACTCACACTGGGATTTCTTTGGTACTTTTAATGTAAATAAGGTACCAGAGCGCATTTAAAAAGCATCAAAATACAGCTTGTTTATTTGAAAAAAAAAAAAAAATGCCACTGAAGGATCCTGCAAACCCCCCTGACAGAGGTCCAGGCTAAGTCCTGAATGTCCTTAAATTCTAGAGAACCCCCTGTGTACACCTGACCTGTGCAAGGCTAGTGCAACTGGCCCCTGCCCTCTTGTCATTTTGCAAAAGTGGCCCCCGGGCAAAGCAAGTCGAGTATCCCTGCAGTAGATACTGTTGAAAGATACAAACAGTCAAGTCAAAAATGCAATGAATCATAGTCTGCTGAAGAGCTCTGAGCTCAAATTGTTGAATTGGTTTTAATAGAATCAAACACCTCGGGAGCAGCTTTTTAGTATGCACACTCTGCTTTTGTGCCACGCTTTGCTTTTCTGTCCGGCGCCTGATGTTAATTGGAATGTTTTTACTCTGCTTGAGTATTTTTACTCACGCCCCCACATTTGCTGTACTATCCAACTTACCTCCCCTCACCCCTACAACTCAGTGAACCTCACCTGGTTTATTCTTAGCAGCTGCTTTGACATCACGAACCACATGTCCAAACACACCCATCTCCAGTGTCAACCCTACCTCGAGGCAGTGCACACTGTAGCTGCCACCTGGACCCGCGACTCTCATCCAGCGTGCCTTGTTTCACCCCTGTAACTCCCCCCCTGTGGTTCTTTCCTGGGCTATTTTTAGCAGCAGTGCTGACGTCACAGACCAGAGGAGGCTGACGCTCTTTGCAGTGACCCTCCCCTCCACCACTGCTGTTTCCTCCTGTGCGCTGACAGTTACAGCTGTGCCCCCCTCTCACCAGCCTGCCCCTCAGAGCTGCACCCCCTCTCTGCCTCCACACTAATTATATATGAGGCATAGACTGAAGACACGTAATAGACAGAGCCTGCTTTTAGTATTGCCATTTTTCCTCGACTGGCATTTGATAGTCAGGGTGCTTGGAGATTGTCTGTGTTGCATCAGGCCTCACTTTTCACACACACCCCTGACCACCAAGCAGTCCATCTGTGATGAAGTAATGCACCACAGAGACTGTTGCATGTTTATATAACACTGTGTGTGTGTCTGTGTGTGTGCGTGTGTGTGTGTGTGTGTGTGTGTGTGTGTGTGTGTGTGTGAGCGTGCGTGTGTGTGTGGGCCGGGGGAGATTGTGCAATGTTTCTTCGTCGTAGTGCTTGTGTGAATGTTAAAAAGGGAAAGAGAGAGGCTGAAACACATGTCCCAAAAATAACAGTGAATTTTTTGTTCATGTGCGGTCTTTCAGTGAGCCCGTCACGTCACAGCATCTCAGAGTGGAGGATGCAGAGCATAGCGCGAGACTCAGACGACAGCTCGGATGAGGAGTTCTTCGACGCCCACGGTAACCGCAGTTTTGATTTTAAATTGGAATCGTTAGTTGGATCTATAGATGTGCTTATTGTGTTCAGTTTTCACAGATCCTGCTTGTTTTCCCTCTCCCCTGACTCTGCATGCATCTCTTTAACCACAGATCAGTTCTTAAGCTTACCAGATACCCAGCATGCTTTGGGGCTGCAGTTGAAATAAGTGGGTGTGGTTCAACAGCCACGCTCTCTGCTGGATGAGCTTGGCCGAGGACGCGGGGGCCAGGTCACTCATCCTGACGTCCAGTTCAGAAAGCACAATCGTCCCACTCTCAGCAGCCCACTCCGGTCCCTGCATCAATGTTTACACACACACACAATATGTCCAAGCAATAAATCCCCTCCCCAAATAATTCACCAGTGTTTGTGTGGCGAAATTGTTTCCTAACATGTAGTCACGATGATGAAACAAGAATAAAATTGTGCTGTCATTTATTACATTGATACTGATTTAGCTGCACTCATTAGTTTCCACCTGTTTCAAGTTCAATAAATTTCTGCTCATGTCCGTGTGAGTATTTGAATGCAATCATTAGACTGAACAGTGTTGACATCTGATTATTTATTGTGTGTTGCAGTATTCATATTTGTATGGATTAATTATTGCGTGTAGGTGCCTGAGGTGAAAGCACATTACATTTTATCAATAAACAGATTAAATATATGACTATAATGTCATAAATTAGTGTAAATAACCCTCTGTCTCAGTGACAGTTAATACAGAAGTGCTGCTCCAGTGCCCATCACAGTATAGTTTGGATTTACATATCGCTACACTGCAGAGATAATAATAAACAGTTATTTTATTATGGTAAATAAATGAAGTGGTGTGTCAAAATGAAGACACGGTGTACATGAACACAAGTGTGTGTTTTGGTTCCTGGATGAATCACAAGATGATGGTGCTGGTACACAAATTAAATTTGGAAATAGACTGGCTCAGATTGCATTTGATATTAAATTTCTGTCTTCAAAGTGTGTTTGTGCTCATCATGGTCCTCTTGCAGTGATCCTCTATAACAAACACTTGAGTTGCACATTTAGTTTTGACTGTCATGTTCCCCTTTTCTCTGTGGCAGAGAACAGATTTTTAGTCCAAATGAATAAAGGAATGCTTTAGCAGAAGTCATCATAGATGCCACATTCACTGCCATCATTTATTAAGTGAGAGTTTGACTCTACAAATGATGGTACACATATAATGTGTCTTATGAAGTTAGTGTTATTGTGGTTATTCTTTAATCTTCTTTAATCTATCACACAATTATTGAACAAACAAAAGCCTGTTGATGAAATAAAGACAATAAACACATTATTTTTATCCAGTTTAAATTTGGATTCTTCGACATGTTTATACATAAAAGAAATGAACCAACTGAGAAAATGATTTGAAAAGCAATAAAAGAAAAACTCACTTGATGTTGAGTACATATAACAGTACAGTACAGTACACATTATCTCTGAAAAACTCATAAAACTGATGACAGAAGTCTTAGTCTGGTGTTTACACTTCTGAGAAGCTGGCTCAAACTTCCTCCTTGCACAACAAGTCATAATGAAATAAAGTGATTTCAATTTCGTTACAACAGTGGAGCTGCATCAGTAAGTACATTAATTGATTAGTCAATGAAAGTAAAATTAATCGCCAACTATTTTGATAATGAATTAATCGTTTAAGTAATTTTTCAAACAAAAATCTCAAACATTTGCTGGCTCTAGCTCCTTAAATGTAAGAATATTCTGCTTTTCTTTGTCATTTATGATGGCAAATGAAGAGTATTTGGTTTTTAGATTGTTGGTTTGACAAAAGAAACAATTTGGAGATGTCACTTTTGGCTCTGAGGTACCGTGATGAGCATCTTTCACAATTTTTTTACATACAACAATAAATCAATTGATTGTGATAATAACCAGCGGATTAATCAATAATGAAAATAATCATTAGTTGCAGCCCTAAACCAAAGCTGTATTATTTATTTGTAGTATAAGTACAGTAAAGGTAAATGGAATTACATGACATCTGTACATTCAGTTTTAGGTTAGATGTTTAATTTGTTAATACAAACTAAAGCAGTGGTTCCCAACTGGTGGGTCGTGGTCCAAAAATGGGCCCCAGCTCCACTCCGAATGGACCGCAAGTGACTCTGAAATACTCACTCACTCTTAACAACATGTCAAGTTTGTGAAAAACACACTTTATTTTTAAGTACAGTGAATTTCTGACACAGAACTTTTATTTTGAGGTTCTGTTTTTGCGATGTAGAGTGAGTAACTAACAGACAACTACTTAATCGAGACACCAAACTAGCTCAACGACATGGCCAAATGCAAGTATGACGCTAAATGTAATTAACCTTGTGGACCTTGAACTAATGACTAAGGAGAAATCTGGACGCCGTGGCTGGACCAGTTGGGGACCACTGAGCTAAAGTGAACAGGAGGTAGCAGCCTGTTCCTCAAAAGTAAAGTTACTGTCAGTGTAAAATTGTGATATTCGCCTTGTTAAATCACAGATTCATGTATTTGTAAAAATCAAAAACACGTACTCGTTTAAACCTCTTCTCAGTAGGTAATTGTTTAGTAAATAAATTTGGTTCTCTACTTTGAAAATCCATTATTGTAATAAAACCACACCACATCATGACCACTGTCCTCCAGCACCCATGTACTTGCCATTTGAGATTGCAAAAGAACATGCGCTTATCAGCCGTAAATGAACACAAAGGTTATACTTCAAAGATAAAAATACCCGGCATAATATGCATAATGACGAGCTCTAGTGGGAACGCTTGACAAGGTTCCTTTACGTTGGTCAGCTGTGTCATTATATAACTGAATAAGCAAATATTACTCATGCAACCCTGTTAATCACTATAAATGCTGTTGGTGCAGTGACAAATGTGTAAACCCTGAATGACACGTATACTTAAGTTGATCGTGATTTATCTTGTGTTGCCCCTGCAGAGGATCTCTCAGATGGCGAGGAGGTCCTCCCGAAGGAAATTGCCAAGTGGAACTCCAACGACCTCATGGACAAGATTGAAGCTGCAGATACCGAGGAAACTCCTGGTATGATGAAAACGACGAGCGCATCGTCCTGGAAAAGTCACTCTGCCTCAGAGCGTGATGCTAAAAATGTGTGTGTTTGCAGGTGAGCTGTTCAAGGAAATGACAGTGGATTATGAAAGAGCAACCAGCGAGGAAAGACTAGATGAGGTACGTGTGTCTGACAGTGAGTGTCTGTTTACAAAACACAAACAGCAGAATCATGTCTGAAAAAAAAATATTACTGAAGAACCATCTGCAGAAATCTGCCTGCAGGACACAAACTTCTGGTAAAGTTGGTTTAATTATACACTGAACAAAAATATCAATGTTTTTGCGCACATATTTCACGAGTTCAAATAAAGGACCTAAGACTTTTTCTTTTATGCACGCAAAAGGTTTAGGTCTCTCAAATTTTGTACACATTTAAATTCGTGTCAGTGAACGCTTTGCCAACATAATCTATCCACATGACATGGGTTATATATCAAGATGCTGATTAAACAGCATCAGTATTACACAGGTGTACCTCGGGCTAATTACATTTAAAGGCCACTCCACAATGTGCAGTTTGTCAAACAACACAATGCTGCAGAAGTCTGGGGAGGGATCCCACGATTGGTGGGTGATAAGTGGTGTCGTAGGCCACCTCCTCTGTTTAACTGAGGAAAGACCAGAACATCACCGTCTTGCCAGGAGACAAAGGGAGATGCACAGTGGTGCTGAAGACGGCGGACTACCATGCCAAAGTCACTACTCTGCTCAGTGACACCGCCACATACGAGACACTGAGGCGAGATCCTACCAGTGGCTACACAAAGAAGGTCATAGATTATCTACAAAAACTCGAAAAGGACAGTCATTGACAGAACACTGTATTATCGACTGTACCCTGGGGAAGCCATCCCATGCATCTATGGACTCCCCGAGATACGCAAGGAAGGTGCACCACTAAGACCTATCATCAGTCACATACAACATCTCCAAACACCTCGCTATTATCCTAGCTCCCCTGGTTGGTAACACTCAAAACCATGTCAAGAACTCTCAGGATTTTACCAACAAGACCAGAGAGATAACTCTGGACTCTGACGAAACTGGTATCATACAACGTCACTTCATTTTCAACTTGAAGTCCCACCAAAGAAGCAGTCAAGACAGTGAAGAATCATTAGCTACAAGACAGTACCTATTCCAACAGGGCCAACTTCACCCCAGGCATTACCATGACCTGGATGACTGAGAATCTTCACCAACACACATCAATGGCATGCTAACTAAAGGAATGTCCAACAGAGCTGTTGCCTGTGAACTGAATGTTCATTTAACTGCCATAAGCCATCCCTAATATCGTTTCTTAACATTTGGCAGTACATCCAACCAGCCTCACAACCACAGAACAAGTGTAATCACACCAGCTCAGGACCTCCACATCCAGCCTCTTCACCTGCAAGCCACCAGACAGCTGATGCAGAAGTTGGTTTGCACAACCAAAGAATTTCTGCCCGAACTGCTAGAAGCTCAGATGATCTTGCAGGTGAAGAAGCCAGATATTGAGATCCTAGGCTGACTTGCTAGACTGGTTGGATGTACTGCCAAATTCTTGGAAATGACAACAGCAGCAACAACTCTGGCGAACATCCCTGCAGTCAGGCCTCAAACCTTGTGACATCAGTGGCATTTCCCTGTGTGATTAAACTGCACATTGTAGAGTTGCCTTTTCATTGTGACCATCCCAAGGCACACCTGTGTAATAATCATGCTATTAAATCAGCATCTTGATGTGTCACACCTATCAGGTGGATGGATTATGTGGGGGAAGTGCTCACTAACACAGCTTTTAAGGAGAGAAATAAGTCTTGTGTCTGCTTAGAAGTCCTAGACCTTTGATTTCAGTTCATGAAAAATGGGAGCAAAAACAAAATTCTTGCATTCATATTTTAGTTCCGTGTATTAAACATAGTCATTTTGCATTAGGTTTTACAGTTTGGGGGATAAGAGGAGGGCTGTTTGTCCCTGAGCCTCTCTGTCCTCTTGTGTTCAGATGCGTGGCTCTGTTAGCGGCCAAGTCGATAGCTCTCCCATTCCCACCATCATGGTAACAAGGCACCAGTCAGTAAGTAATCATTTCGGCCATAGTGCACTGTGGGCTACTGTAGCGCCACAGATCCCCCCCCTGAACAAACCCAGTACTTACTGCCCCTGCCTTTTTTTTCCTCCCCGCCGTTGCCAAAACCCAAATCCATGTGCTCCTCCTCAACCTCACCACCCTCTGTTCAACTTCTGTGTACTTGCAGCTGTGGCATTAAGTGGACATAATAGTGCTTCTTTAGAAAGTTTTGTATCAGACGTAAAAGACAAAACTGCACATTATGTTGTTGTGTTTAATGTGATTTGTCCTCAGGAACTTGTCGTTGTTTGCTGTTAGTTGAACAGTTGTCTAGGTGGAGTGTAGGTTGGCTCTGTCCTGTTCCCCTTCATGGTTCTCCGTCCCTCTCTGGTTGTGAAAAGAAGTTTGTACCAAAATTTTAATGTGTGTGGTCATGTTTGAAGAGATGGACGCAATATGACTCACAAATCTGACAAGACACAAATAATTGTAATGCACAATACTAAAGCATTGGTGTTTCTCTGTGACTCAGTCAGCATGTTGTCTCTGGTCATGCTAATAAAAAGGATGTTTTCATAAGTGTTTATATGTCATTTATTAAACATCCTGCAATAGCTTTTACTCGTCATCCCCATCCATCACCCTCTTTTGTGTTTTTAATCGTCTGTTCTCAGGAGAGCTCGTCTCAGCAGTGTCTGCAGCCTTCCAAGATCCATGTGCTGATCTTGGTTCTGCACGGAGGGAACATCCTGGACACAGGCGGAGGCGACCAGAACAGCAAGCAGGCCGACGTCAACACGATTAGTACAGCTTTCGACACAGTCATGCGTGTTCACTACCCCGCGGCGCTGGGACGCATCGCCATCCGCTTGGTACCCTGCCCTGCCATCTGTGCCGAGGCCTTCTCCCTGGTGTCCAAGTAAGAGGGGACACACACGCACACATTTTTTTTTTCTTCTGCACGCTGCAAGCATTGTGGATAATGATTGACGGCTTCTGTTTATTGACTGTGATTGCTGTTTGCTTTTGATGGAAAAGATCCAGGTGCAGCTCATGACCGTCAACCCCCTCCTCCTGTGTTTGTTTCTGCACACTCCTCTATGGAACGCCTTGATCTCGGAAATATGTTTGTAATTTAATTTTGTTGATTTGCGTCTTTTGCGGCAGCCTGAGCCCGTACAGCTACGATGAGGGATGTCTCTCCAGCAGCCAGGACCACATTCCCCTGGCAGCTCTCCCCCTCTTGGCCACCTCTTCGCCACAGTACCAGGAGGCTATGGCCACCGTCATCGTCAGGGCCAACCAGGTTTACACAGACTTCATAAAGTCTCTGGATGGGGCAGCTTTCTCTGGCCAGGTCAGTTACTGAGATTATCAGTGCTATTGAATTCTCACATACCAACAGTTTTGAGTTGTTTTTGACCTTCTCTTTTAATTTTGACATCTTATAACAATTTTTGTGATCATTTTATATTGATATTTAAACATTAATATATGGGGGCAGGAATAGAAATTGATAAATCACAAATAAAGTAGACGGATATCACAAATGTCCATGCATTAATCAGCCCACAGTTGGCAAGCAATGACGAACAAAACAAAAATCAAAGAAATAAGAGCTTTTTTTTTTTTTTTGCTATACTTGGCAACTTCTGGCTTGTAAGAAATTGTTTTAGATAATACGTTTGATAGCACCTCTAAAACTCTCCTACTCTGCAACCCTTGGGCACTCCCACACTATTTAAATGTTCCCCACACATTTTGAGTGCCTAGGGTGTAGTTTGGTGAGGATAAAACTTTCATTTTATGCAATGTGCAGGGAGTAAAGTATGTTCTGTGTATGAAATTAAAATGAATAACTTGATGGCTTGGGTTCCTAAAAGATGGCTGCATGTTCTGCCAGATTAGTTTCCAATTTGGGTTGGAGCTATTTGAGAAGAGGTCCGCCTTCCACAGTCTGTTAGCAGATAGCGGCTTACAGGAGACCTTATGCAAGATGGAATATGTTGTCGAGACTGGCCCGCTGAGGCTGGTTGGAGCTGTATGGAATAGATGTGTGGAGAAAGGGTATTTTCTGACACACACCATAAGTGCGCATTGCTTTGCTGGGTTGGGGATAGAAAAAAAGACGATGTGCCAGTTATTTTGAAATGTTTCTGGATGTCTTGAAATGCTCCGAGGCCATTTATGGTCCTATAAATGTCATGAGTGTGCACCCCGTTACTACTTCACTGAGGGAATGAAATTGGTTTGCCTCCCAATTGGAGGTTATTGTTGTGAAAAATGGGAGAGTGAAGATTCCAGTTAGACAAAATCTTGCAGTGCTTTTTGGTTTGACGCTTAAGGGGGATTACTTCGGTAGTAACTGACCCGAATTTCTTTCTTGATTGTTTGACTGAAACGTTGGAGTAGATCAGATCTTGTAACCTGAGGGTGCACCGTGTTTGCTTCAGCTAACATTCAAGACACAAGAGAAGTAGGTTTTAACCATTTTGAGACAGAGTACACTACATTTGACCAGTGACTCTACTGGAAGTTAGGTTCACCAAATTCCCCTTTGCTTTTTGTCTTTGGAAAGTAGACAGTGTTGTGCAGTTGTCTTGTTAATTGATTCTCCACTTCATGGTACATACCCAAGTGACAATCAATGGCAAAATAATAAAGATTTTTCTCATTTTAACATCTCATTATTTTTTTACTTCCTGGAAAAAATCTTTTTTATGAGCAGATTCATTTTGTTTGTGTTATTGAGCTTTGTTGGAGCAGGTGTATATATCCTAAGGATGTGTGTCAAAAATATAATTATTGCTTTATTAACTTTATGTCTAACTGTTGACTCCTCTAGGTATGCCTCATTGGGGACTGTGTAGGAGGAATCTTGGGATTTGATGCACTGTGCAGTAGCAATCAGACAGTCAATGAAAGCCAGAACAGCAGTCGCAGGGGAAGTGTCGTCAGTGTACAGGTAAGAGACAAAACACTGAGTACTTAATACATATGTCAGCAATATGTTTTAACTCATTACTGACAACAGCATCAAACATAAATATGATTATATGAGAAATACGGTGAGAAGTTTCCTCTGAAAATCTGTCCTACAACTATTATTTTAACGTGTACCTTTTTCTCCATCACATATAGCAGTGTGTTGTAAGTTTTTAAATGTTCCTGACTCACCCCCGCAGGACCAGGACCTCCTCTCTCCTGGCATCATTGTCAACAGCGGCCATGGGTCGGCCTCGCCAACCCTGGAGGGCAGCCGTCACCTCAGTCGCAGTAACATCGACATCCCTCGTGCCGCCGCAGGTGACGACACCAAGCGACAACTGCCACGTAAGAGGAGTGACTCCTCCACCTACGAGCTGGACACAATAAAACAGCACCAGGCCTTCCTGACCAGGTGTGTGGGATGACAAAAATCGTTACCTTAGAGACAACCTCAGTTCAGTTCTTTTTTTTTTTGCACTGAATGTGATTTATTTTTAGTTCTACAAGAGGAAATGACTTTGTGCTGTCCTTCCAGCTTACACTCCAGTGTTCTGCGGAGTGATGCTGTGTCACGCAGGTCGAGCAGCAGCACGATGCTGGATGGGGGCTCCCTGGGGAAGTTTGACTTTGAGGTGTCTGACTTTTTCCTGTTTGGCTCTCCACTGGGTTTGGTTCTTGCCCTGAGAAAGACTGTCATTCCTATGTTGGATGGTAAGCTAATTTGGACAGAGGTTAGAATGAAATTAATGTTGTTAATGACACATTTTGCAAGAGTTAAAAAATAACCTTTCTGACTACAAAGTTATTTTTCATCATCAAATATTAATTATATGTCCTGGCATCATAACCAGTATTTAAAAGCTACCAAACCTCGTATGTTCTTAAGAAAGGACATACCTAAAGAAAGTCTGAGGGAAGATGGACCCACTCTACTCTCCTGTCTCATGTCTTTGGTTCGATTTCTCCCCCTAGTGGCCCAGCTGCGGCCTGCCTGTCAGCAGGTCTATAACCTGTTCCACCCAGCTGATCCCTCAGCCTCCCGCCTGGAGCCTCTGCTGGAGAGGAAGTTTCACCTCCTGCCTCCCTTCAATGTACCCCGTTACCAACGCTTTCCCCTGGGAGATGGAAACTCCGCCCTACTGGGTGAGCCCTCAACACTGATGATGTATAAAAGCCTCAGTCATATCAAATAAGTATATATATCCAGTCATGGATTACAGTTTAGAATAGTTGATGTACGTCTGATTTTGATTCACATGCACAGACACAAATGCAAAATTCCCTGTAATGAAATGGCTGTTTAATTTTTCCTTTTAACTTAAAGGGTAGCTTCTGTATTGTTGAACTTGGACCCCGTTTTCCCATGTTTCTGTGTCAAAAAAAATAATGGGAACAATATTTTTGGAAATTGGTTCAATATTTAGGGAGAGAGCTGCAGCCGACAACCACAAACAGGCGACAGTGGCATATTCGCACCATCAGTTTACGTCCTCTTAGAGTTCTTATTTTTGCCACTGACAGGCTCAGATTGTATTGTGTGTCTGACAGTGTTATGGAAAGTACCCCTATAGATATAGGTTTCTTTGTTAAAGAGTAAGATCCTTTTTGTTTAACCAGAAACAGCCCTGACCAAACTCTATTTAAATAAACAGTAATTTTATTATTATAAAACACACTTCATTCAAAGTCGACAGAAACAAAATCAACCTCAAAGAAACTGTCTTGGTTCGTCTTTCTACTATTCCAACGATCACCAACTCTGGTTAGGATGAAATAAACTCTTAATTTACACAGCTAGATGTGAAATATGCTGGCTCTATACACACTGAAATTACTGTTTATTTAAATGGAGTCTGGTGGGTTTGGCGATTTCAGTCCTCTGTCTAGTTAAACAAAAGGATTCTACTCTTAAAAAAAAAGTCAGTGGGTTAGTGGATAGAGCAGGCGCCCCACGCACAAGGCTGTTGCCGCAGCGGCCCGGGTTCGAGTTCAGCCTGTGGCCCTTTGCTGCATGTCATCCCCCCTCTCTCTCTCTCTCTCTCTCCCCCTTTCACACTTAACTGTCCTGTCCATTAAAGGCAAAAAATATCTAACAAAAAAAAAAAAGTCTAACTCAGTGGGGACCCTCTCCATAATGTTGTCAGACATTATGAGGGACCTGTCAGTTGCCAAAAAAACAAGCACTTGTTACATTGCAGCCTGTATCAATACTGTCTGTTGCAGCCCTCTCGTTCAATACTGGACCAGTTTCAAAACCTGTCGCTTTCATTAGTTACTTAGACACAAAAACATGGAAAAATCCATTTCAGGTTGAAAAATACAGAAGTTACCCTTTAAGGTCACATCAGCTGATGCTTCAGACACTGATTGTAACGCACTGTCCTGTTCCCCAGGGATGCTTGCCTTAGAGAACACATGCCTTAAAGACACCTGAGTAGCACTCGATGAGTTCCTCCCCACACAGTAAACACTGTCTCAAAGAAAAATGAAACATTTTTCTACTGTTTGTGCTTCAGCATCTTTTGTGAAGCGGTTTATTCATCTAAATGTGGTCATAGTCCTGCTGGTGGTTTTCTGTTTGGACACTCATTGTAGTGGAGTAACCCTTAGAGGCCCACCCTACCCTTTTTATACAAACATCCGTCCATGATTCACCAGGGAAAAGTACACAGACATGAGTAAGGTAATTAATAAAAAGCCATGAGGGTTATTAAGCTGTATAAGCATAGCGATATTTTGTAAGGACTTCAGGCCAGGGTTTTAATGTTTCAGAGTAGTTTTCATCCTGAATATCCTCAGGTCTGCCTTGTTTAACTTATTAGCAAACTTTTCAGGACAGATAAATTTTTAAAGACAAATTTAAGATCATTTTTGAGTTAAGTATTTGCAAATGGTTTTTTGACTAGCAAATTCCAGGGTTTTTAAAACCTTAGTGTAGCTTTATGGCTGACCAGAAGTTGCGATTCAAAAGAAATGGGCTCAACTAAGGGCTTGACTCTGCTTTCTTGTCTCATGTTCAGTTGTTCTTGCTTCATATGTTTTTGTGTCTTCCCTGTCTTCTTTCCCTCCTCCTCTCTCGGCCTCCTGTCCCCATATCTGTGTACGTGACTCTCTACCTCCAAATATCCCCCCCTCTTGACCTCTGCCCCCTCTGCCCCTCCACCTCCCTCTGTAGTGGAGACAGTCCAGAGCAACGCTCAGCTGCTACTTGACAGCGGGCCTCCCCTGTCCCTTCGCTGTCAGGAGACCATCAGTGAGACCTGCATCCCTGTGCCTGTGCTAAACTGGCAGGAGGGCTCCCTCAAAGCCACACCCGCCACTGTGGAGTGTGTGTAGCCTCTCCCATTCACCTGCATCTGTCCTCACCCCCATTCATCGTGTTTTTTTTGTCTGTTTGTTCTTGCTGTCACGTCCAAGATGCTCAGATTTATACCTGTCGTGTTTCCTTTCTGAGTATTCCCATTGCTGTTGTTTCAAGAGTCAAGAGCCTTTACTGCCTTTACTTGTAGCATTTAGTGTTTATCATAACTACATCGTATAAGTTTTTAAATTTCTTGGTTAAATTCTTGGGCTCTTAAATTAGAAATAGAAATAATACAAAACTCTTACATCTTGCCATGGAAATACTTTGAAAAATCTGCTAGGCATCTCATGTGGTGTTCCATTTCGTTGTCGCCATCATATATTCGTGTCACGTACAATGTTTGGAGGGCGCAAGCATTTGTGTTTGTGCTGTGTTTTTTTTAACCGGGTTTCAGTGTGTGTGCATCACTTCCATATTATCAGATTGTTAATGTCGGCAGACGGTTTTTCTACGATCATCCGAATTTCAGAGACGTTTTAATGTGAGGATTGTGTTGCTTGTGATGTTGTGTTTGCACAGTGTACGGTACATGGAGCTCGATCTATACGTCCCAAATACACTGTTCCATATGTTTGTACTTGTGTTAATGGTCAGAGGTCATCTGATTTAGTAAAATCTCCAGCTCTAAAGAGTTTAGAATGATATTACTTTCAGAGTTTCCCAAATATTAATTTATTTGTGGCGGCTCGTCACGATATTGATCTTTTATATTTGGAGCTGCAGTGTTAATTTGGAGCGCTGCTGGAATATATATACTGGAGTACAGCATGTACTCTGGGCACAGACGGAGCAGCAGAACGCCAGGCACAGAGAAGCTTAATCATTTGTTAATTTATGTAGAAATAAAGCAACATTTTTTTTTCTTAGAACAGCTCTCTTTTTTTAGTTTAGATGAAACCGCCCGTGTTCCCATAAAAACCAGGCATCCGGCGGTCCAGCGCTGGGTCTAAAATGTGCTTCCAATTACCTCAGCAGCAGCTGCTCCTCTAATCTGATCAGTCCTGATTGATCTGACTGATTTATTCTTCACCCAGCAACTCAAACTCAACAAGAGTTCTGCCTGTGCTGCGTTTACAGACCAGCAAAACCTCTGAATTCAGAGAGGGAACATAGACTGATCACTCCTGCCGCCACACATAGATTCTAATTATGTGGGAAACACTGACTTTGCTGTTAGATGTAAAAGCATCTTCATAAGAGATATTAACACGTAGGTGTGACTGTAACAGATGTGGGCATTTGTGATTTTGAGTGTTTTATGTACTCATGCGCCCGTGTTCCCACTGGTGGGTTGCAGAAATCTGACCTTGGCAGCCACATGGCCACCCTTTGGTTTCACATGTCCTCTGAAACCATGGTGCCTGCCGTCACATTTCTCTGCTGCAGCCCAAACCCACATCTCCCTCCCCCTCATCACTGTGAGTTCGCCTTACCTGTGTCTCTGTCTAATGGGATCTCCTTGTTTCGGCTCAATAGCGGATGTTGTTCAGTCTCATGGTGGTGTCTTCATGGACAGTTCGTACCCCTCATCCCCCGTAACGGGCCCCCTCTCCCGGGGCCAGCGGAGGGCCAGTGAGGTCAGCATTGCCAGCCAGGTCTCAGGAATGGCAGACAGTTACACTGCCACCAACATAGCCAACAGTAAGTGTTCTCAATACCACCAAGCCTCTCTATCTCTCTGCCTTCCACTCACACACACACTGCTCTAGTTATTCCCCCTCTTTCTCTTTCTTTCTGTCTAAATCTCCTCTATATTTCTGTCTTTCCTTTTTCCGACTCTCCTCCCTCATCTTATCTTTCAGCCCCGTTACTCTGACTCCACACACACACCCTGCACTCCAGCTGGAGCAGTCTAGTCAGCCAGATAGCTCCTGTCTCTACTTCTGCTCAGACAGACTTAACACCTGCAGTGTAACCAGACTGTCGTGCAGAGCGTTTTCTCCATCTTGTTGAAGTTTAAAATCCCAAATATGAGCGAGCAGAGTCCTGAAGAAGAGCAAGTTTAGCGCCACTTTTCACTGTCTGTCTGACTCTTATCCACTGTCTAAATGTAAATGCAATGAACGAGTGCTGCATTTATCTGATGCTGCAATGCATGTGGACACCTGCCTCCCTCAGCCATTCTCACATTGTCCACTCCTTACTGCAGTGTTTGCTGAGATGATCGGTATTCTGTTGTGTTTTATGTGAAACTGTCCTCCCTCCTCACTATTTCACTTTTGTTACCAGAGCATTTATATGTACCTCACGTTGTTGTTCTGCACACTGCCGCTTTAGCACCTACAGTACAACCCTGGGGATGCACGTGAGCTAATGATAACAGATTTTTTGCTCATGCGATACAGGCTATCAGGAGACCTTCAACAGTATCACCCTGCCCTCCTGCCTTAACTGCTGTACTAACAATGATTTTTCAGCTTTCACAGTTCTGTTTGAGGCAGCTTACTGACTCCAGACCCATCCCAACATCACGCTTCAAACTGTTTTAACTGTCATAAACTGTCTCATACCAACATGCATCCAATTTTTACATGATTTCTTTGTCTTTGTTTTCTCCCCCATAGCCAAGTCATGCCAAATTAACCAGTCCAAAAAGTTCAGCCTTTTGTCACAACTCGCCCTTTCATCGCCAAACAAATTCTTCCTGAAAAGTCCTCCTAAATCCCGTAAGAAAGCAGTGGCTGCTGGTCAGGCTGCGGGATCTCCTGACGCCGATCTAGTGGCAGATCTGGACAGTGAGACTAGTGAAACTCTAAGTCCCATTGGCCAGTACGAGAACTGCCTGTCAGCTGGGCTGGACTGTGCTATATCTGATCTGGTCTCACTGGACTCCCAGGCTGAAGTGGACCAAGGTATTCTTCTAAGGGAGGGGACTTCTAAAGTCATCGTGAGGCTGTTGGCCTTTTCTATGCGCTGTTCCTTACTGTGTGTCCAAATCCAAAAACTCAATCCTGCTCTTCCAGAAAGCCTCTTCTTCCTTTCCTTTACCTGTCAAAATTAAATTCATAAAGATTTAAGGCAACCACCTTTATAATGAGGAATCATGTATGTATAAATCCAGAGCTTTCCAAATCCATAATCTTTTTTTCCATGTCCACTAACATGAATAACCACATGCTCATATAATCATGTGTCAGTTCTAACTATCTTTTTCTTCCTCCTACACTTAACAAAAATTATAAACTCCTGCTTTCCTTCTTTTAGCTGCAGAACTTCTGGGATCGGTGATGGTTGTGGTTTGAAACTGAAATGTTGGTTTTGGCATCAGGGGTGTTGCACCTTTGTGTGGCATCGCATACCTCACACTGAGTCTAACAGTCTCACCTTACATATCTGCATCCTATTCGCTCCATCCCCATCGCAGTTGCAGCACGTTGGTGGGGCACAAAGCGGCTGGATTTCGCCCTGTACTGCCCCGACGCTCTGACCGCTTTCCCCACAGTGGCTTTACCGCACCTCTTCCACGCATCATATTGGGAGTCCACCGATGTTGTGTCTTTCCTCCTGAGACAGGTGAGTCAGCGTTAGAATACCTGCCACTCTTTATGGCATGTTAATAAGTGATCAGCAGGTGGTTGGTCCTCTTCAGAGATACTGAGGGTGAGTCATTGAAATGTTTCCTGTAGGTCATGAGGCATGACAACTCTAGCATCCTGGAACTTGATGGGAAGGAAGTGTCTGAATTCACTCCCTCCAAACCTCGGGAGAAGTGGCTCCGCAAGAGGACCCATGTGAAGATCAGGGTAGGCATCAGATCAATAAACGTCGGTGTCAGATGACACAAAATGCCTCTCAGAATCTGACATTTTTTAAGACACTCAACAACATTACATTTTTTTGTTAGAGGAATGCTTCACTCACACCACGATCATTTGTAAATCAGTTACTCACCCCTTGTTACGTTGAATCTGTGAGGAAAATGATTTTCTTTTCTGTTTTTTTTTTTTTTTTTGTGAATTATCTTCACATATTCAACATAACTTCAGGAGAGTAACTGATGTCCAAATAATCATGTTATGGGTGTAGTATTCCTTTAAAGGCATGGAGAAAATAACATTTCAGCATGTATATTTCTTTTACTCCTTTGACAGAACGTGACTGCTAACCATCGTGTAAATGACGCCGTGTTCACAGAAGACTCCCAGCAGGTCGTGACCGGTCGCTTTATGTATGGCCCTCTGGACATGGTCACTTTGGCCGGGGAGAAGGTGATCTCTCTTTTGCCCCCACGACAGCACACACAGACTGGTGTCAGCAATGCCTGTGTAGTTTGCACTCACATGTTTGTAATCCTGCACAGGTTGACCTCCACATCATGACCCAGCCTCCATCAGGAGAGTGGGTGTACTTCAACACAGAAGTGACCAACAGCAGCGGCCGTGTGTCTTTTGTCATCCCAGAGGACAAACGTCTGGGTATCGGGGTCTACCCAGTCAAAATGGTTGTCAGGTGAGATGAGTTTGACCCTCTCATTTTCACGGCAGACATTTTGACTTCTCGTGGCAGGCAAAGCACAGGTGTTTCTAATAATAACAATGGCCCTGTTCAGTTCAAGTGTCACAGTAAATCATGACGGCGTGACAGTGAGACAGGGTGCACAATAACAAGACCCTGAAACCAAAGCAGCTAAATGGAGTGCACCCGTCTGTTCTGATTTGAATATGAATATGACATGCTCTTATATACAGTCTATGTTCTGTAAGTAGTAATGTAATAATTTTCTCACTCTCTGTTGTTGTTTTCATTCCTCAGGGGCGACCACACATTTGCAGACAGCTACCTGACAGTTATTCCACGTGGCACAGAGTTTGTGGTGTTCAGCATCGACGGGTCATTTGCTGCCAGCGTGTCAATCATGGGCAGTGATCCCAAAGTGCGGGCAGGAGCTGTGGATGTTGTCAGGTACCTCTCTGCTCTTCTCCTTCTCCTGTTTTCCTGGGTTTGAAACAACAGTCTCTTTCAGACTGAAGCACATTAGTGTGTAGCGTTGTTATTTGTGTCTTACTTGTGTGTCATCTCGTTCCTCCTCATTGCAGGCACTGGCAGGATTTAGGCTATTTGATCATCTATGTGACAGGACGACCGGACATGCAGAAGCAGCGGGTCGTGGCTTGGTTATCTCAGCACAACTTCCCTCATGGCATCGTCTCCTTCTGTGACGGCCTGGTCCACGACCCGCTCAGACACAAGGCCAACTTCCTCAAGTCGCTGACGGAGGTCAGTGCGGTTTTATAAATACCATAGTTTGTACATGTGTTGTCTTGGTCTTTGTGGAAAGAATAAGCAATGCAAACAGTGCTTTTGTTCATTTGACTGATTTCAGGCACACTTGAAGATTTTCGCTGGCTACGGATCAACCAAAGACATCTCAGTCTACACCTCCATTGGCCTCCCTCCTTCCCAAATATACATCGTCGGTAGACCGTCCAAGAAGATGCAGCACCAGTGCCAGGTACCATTGGATTATTATTTAATGCATGACTTGGGGAATTTATCTCACTTTTCAAATTGATATTCCATTTCTATATCAAGGATACTAAAGTAAGTACCTAAAACCTAGATGGAAATTAGGCACCTTTCACACCCACAGACTGTTCCGGAAATGTTCAGGAACATTTCCTGCATGAGAGCAGGGATTGTTATTCAGGGAAATCTGTACCACTGATTTCTTACCTCAAGACTGAGGCTACATTCACACTGCAAGCCTTATTGCTCAATTCAGATTTTTGGTCAGATCTGATTTTTTGTTTTTTTTGGTTGCTCGCATATTTTTTTAAATAGGACGAATGTCAGATTCCAGTCTCCTCTCCTCTCCTCTCCTCTCCTCTCCTCTCCTCTGTCCTATCTCCTCTCTATCTCCTCTCTTCTGTCTTCTATCTCCTCTCTGCTCTTCTCTCCTTTCCTCTATCTCCTCTCCACTTGTCTGTCTCCTCTCTCCTCTCCTCTGTCTCCTCTTTCCTCTCTTCTATATCCTCTCCTCTCTTCTATCTCCTCTTTCCTCTCTTCTATCTCCCATTTCCTCTCCTCTCCTCTATATCCTCTCCTCTCCTCTCTTTTATCTCCTCTCCCCTCTCCTCTATCCTAAATCCTCTCTCCTCTCTTCTATCTCCTCTCTGCTCTTCTCTCCTCTCTCCTCTCTTTCCTCTCCTCTCTTCTGTCTACTTTCTGCGATCCTATTTCCTCTCTCCTCTTCTCTATCTGTCTTAAACTGCAATTGTACTTTGTCAACACATAAAAAAATGTCATGCCAATAAAGCTTATTGAAAACAAAGACGTCACATGCAGCATGCTGTTGTACAGAAGCAAACATGGAGGCCGCTGAAGTCTGCGTTCATGGTTTCGTTTAGAAGTTGATGTTTGGTGGAAGCCAGTGAATTCATGAGCAGATGATAACGAGGGCGATGATGAGGAGAAAGAGACAAATTTTTAATGATGGCTTTTTGTAGAGCACTGGCTGCTGCTTTTGTACGGAGGTGTATGTTGATGGAGAGAGCCAGGAGTGGTGGGTTAATGACGTAAATCTCTTCACTGAAACAGATTTCATCCAAAATTGCAGGATGTCAAGGGCTACTTTTAATTAAATCTGTCAGTGCCTCTCCACAAGACTCAGTACAGCCAACCCGTCTGTGGGTGACGCAAAAGTTACATGAAACCGCTAGGTCTGTTCAGACTGGGATCACACTGCAAAAAATCAGACCTTTTAATGAAAGAAATATCTATCCAGAATAAAGATAAATAAAATAATTGATCATTTTATTTCACACTGTAGCGGTCTTACTGCCTTCCCACATACAATCTGTTCTTCTTGGGAAGATGAATTTGACATTGTGATTCCCTTGTGAATCCAATTTTTTTGAACAGTTTCCGAAATGGCAATCAGTTCTTACTCCAGAATTTTTCAACTGAAGATTTTCTATAAAATTATTGCCACTAAAAAAACAACTTCATATGTTTAACATTGACAAATCATAACTATGTAGATTCTACAATGAGCAAGAGGAAGACCAGTTGCACTGGTTTTTCTGCAGCTATTATGTTGCAGGTTTCTGGACTGATATCCAAGGCTGGCTGAGGCCCCTCAAACATTATATTAAATACATTACAAGAATACTGGCTCCAGACAGAAACATTTCCTCGCCTGCCATGTTCCAAAAAATACAAAAATACATCTATCACGTCACATACATGTGACTTCTTACATAGACTTCTGTTGAGTTTTATGTCTGTTGCCATCCAAAACAGTTGCATTACCGCCATCTGCTGAACTGTCCCTTGCCCCATCTAATCTGGCATTGCCATGGCAGGTGTGAAAAGTGCAAGACGGCAATGTTTCTAAATGTAGCACTTGTGTTAATAGTGAAAACCAGCTGCGTCTAAAGGTTCATCCCAGTAATTTATCAGGAACTATGTGTGAAATAGGAATGATTTAACAGGTCTAACACTGCCACTGTCACCGATAAATAACACATTTGACTGAATGAAAAAATATAAGTTAACTAAACCAGAGTGTAAAAAAAATCTCTGATTCTTTATAGCTGATGGTTCCTCTTCTCTCTGATGCTCTCAACAGTTCATCACAGAAGGATATGCAGCTCATTTGTCACAGCTGGAGTACAGCCACCGCTCTCGGCCAGCCAAGTCCAGCAGCGCACGCATGGTCCTGCGTAAAGGCAGCTTCGGCTTGGGTGCAAACAGCGACTTTCTAAGGAAGAGGAACCACCTGCTGCGCACCATCTCCTCCCAGCCGGCCCCCAGCTCCCCAACAGGCAACATCCACAACAGGCCAGAACGCACACAGAGCCAATCCGACGGCGAGCGGCTGGAGCGAGAGCGGCTGGAGTGCGCTCACAGCTACAGCCAGGGAGCAACGCAGCGCAGCATGAGCATCACAGCCGGCTGCTGGGGCCGCAGCAGCAGCACCAAGCTGGAACACGGTGTTCTCAGCCCCAAATGAGATAAGGGAGATGATGGGAGAGCATCTTTGGGAGAGTGACTTAAAAATACAGTGCTGAAGAAGAGACCCATGATGAAGAGAAATGCAAAGAGTGAAAAACAGTTGGCTTGCACCAGATGGGTAGATACAACAATGACAACAATAGGTGCTACAAACCACTCTTTGTAAACTAATGCCAGTCACACTCCACACATATATTTATGAACAGAGGCTATGGCTATATTTATTATACAACACACACAACTCAACAGGCATTTCAAAGAGCATCTTCCTGAAACAGGAACATGCACACAAATAGACATACAGTAGCTTATATTGTAGGGATCCAGACTGTTTCTACTGTTTAGTAAATATTTATTAGTCTTGAATACGAGGTCAGTTTTCCTCCTACAGTGGGCTTTTAGATTGGAGATGGTTACACAGACAAGCACCCCGATGCTATATACTGCAAACAACTCAAAGTGGTTACAGACAGCCTGTATCAGGTCCAAGTGCTGATACTGCACTGTAACTGAGTACTGCCAACACAAGCACAGCAATTACTATAAAGATATAAACTTTGTGCATAATAGTTTTAAAGCTTTGTCCTTTTAATGTGATAATCAGATACATTCACGTCTGGGAGCAGAGCGTAGAATCAGGTAAAACTGGATTGTTTGTTTTCGAAGTGTGACCAAACAAACACACAATCATTTTGCTAAAAAATATCTTTTTCAGTTTTGTTTTGTTTTTTAGAAAAAGCATCATCATTTATCAGCATTAAAAATAGGGCTGCGTGTCATTTAAACAATCATGATAACAGTACAAGTAGAGTATTTCATTAATTCATTCATCATGTGAATGGAGTGGCGTGTAGTATAGCTGTACTTTTAAACGTTTAGGTGGCATCTCCGCACACTAAAATCCCAACTCTGTCACAAACACCGCACTCAACTACTCACCAAGTACAGAGAATTCGCCTGCACACACATACAGTGACAGAGCGCGCATCACGCGGCTAACGTTACCCAACAGTTACGTTCATCGTCAGAGTTGGGTCATTCTTTGTGGTCAGTGTTTTTACCCAGCTGGCACCGGATGTCAATATGACGTCAGAAAGACATTGGACTCTTACATCAGACACACAATAAATTTTGGTTGGCATGAAAATCAGGTTTACAATATTTTAAATATCTGACAACGTTAAAATTTTAGATTGTGTGGACGTTAGTGTTAGGCGACCTTGAGTGGCTTGAAAGGCGCCCTAACAAATAAAATGTATTATTATTATTATTATGACAATTTGCAGACATTGGATTTGTTCTCTACACTTCACGACTAAATGTAGTTGTCATACGTCAAGATGATGTTGGCATGAGACGTTTGGAAGACACTGGATTTTGGTTACGTAACAACACAACTTAAAACCAACAAATTTCTGTCATCAGTATTCTACGGTAGATTGACGTTGGCATTAGACGTCCTGATATTAAATTTTGGTCACCCAACATCACAACCTAAAATTCAACCAAGTATCAATGTCTAACGAAGATTGTGTTGGATGTTAGCTGTTCCTGCTGTGTTAGTTTGGGCTTAACAGGCAGACAGTGAACTGATGCTCTCGTTCTGTGGGAGGAGAGCAACTCAGGAGATGGCAGCAACAGAAAGTTTTCTGATCTGGCAGGGAATCAGGATCAGTCTGGGATCAGATCCCAGGGAAAAAAAGAACCGAATGCAGGTATCATTTGGAGACATTCATTCATAGTGAGTTATTTCAGTTGATACCTTAGAGGTACCGATACCTAGTCCTAATTAAAAACAATGTTTGGGGGCATAAGTGGCTTAGCAGGCGCTCCATGTACAGAGGCTCCGTCCTTGCTGCAGTGGCCCGGGTTCGACTCCAGCTTACGGCCCTTTGCTGCATGTCAGCCCCCCCTCTCTCTCCACCTTCACACACTTAACTGTCCTATCCATTAAAGGCAAAACAATGTTTGTCTTGTGAGTCAACATGAAATGATTTGATCGATACTGGTACTTGAAGCATTCACAAACAGCAAATAACATTTTCACAACCCGTACAGTCCAGTTTTGCTTGTTTTCTAGTCGCCCCTCAGACCAAAGAACCATCCAAATATCACATGAAGCAAACTGCGAAATTACCCTTTAATTATGGTTGCAGCTGAAACTGTTCCTCGAATTTTATAGCGTCTCACCACATCTCACCGCACTGCGCTGCTGACCCTTCCTGAATCAATACCGTGAGACTCAGCCGTAGGGAGAACTCCTAACACAGTCCGATTAATGTGCCAAAGTTAACAGTATAGAATGATATGCTGTACATGTACAGAGAGGAAGTGATTTAAGGTCTCCTGTGTAAAAATCGAACAGATTGTGTAAGTATGTAATCGAACGGCTTCAAGAGGCTTGTACATAATTGTTATATTACAGTGCAGATCTGGTATCTGGTCCACTGAAGACCAGTTTCAAGTGTCTTCTTCACTCTGGGGGTAAACACCGCCTCATTCAGGATACACTTTAATGATTGACGATGATAATTATTGTTATTTAAGATTATAGATATTTTAAAATGTATTTTGTGAACAAAATGTGTTTTAAGATTACTTTAGCTATGCTGTGTTTTTTTTTTCTTCTCTTCAAACTTCAGTTGCAGCAGCCAAAACTCAAAGAGGTCTTTGCCTGGCACAGTATTGTATTTTTATTATGTTATCTTGCAGATCACCAGAATTGTATCAACAGAACTGCTATCTTGTGTCATATATTGTATGTTATCTATTTTGGAAATTTGGGATATGGCTTCTCTCTGGTTATCCCTAAGCTGTAAATGAGGCGTTGAATGTGCTCATAGATAATCCTCCTTAGGTTAAGGTCTTTTTTCTCTGTTCTGCCTTTAGAGGAAGAAAAATCTGCAAATTGTAAATTCTGTACAATATGCTGTCGGAAGTAGGAACACAGAGCTAAGACTTTCTTTATGCTGTTTGCCATTTATTTTATGAAATGGGTTAAAAAAAGAAATGTGATTTTATTCATTCAAATGATGTTTATTTGTCCCTCTAATAGGCATGTAGAGAGCTGACTGCAATGGACCAATATGGGCTTAAATGTAAGGGAAACGTGCAATATTTCTCAACCGCACCACAAGCTCAAACAGACTGTGTTGAGGAAATGTCGCAGTGCATTGACAATCAGTTCAACAGGCACATGTTCTACAAGCGTCAAAGTGCAGAGGGAATCTGAACACATCTTTGCACTCAGCAAACACAGGGTACACATTAAACATTTGTAGAATCCGTTAAAAAAAGGGGGAGATTTCTCACAAGAAAGTGCCACAACCCTGATAATGATGAGATACTACAGTAGGTTTTCGGTTGCCAGTTTATTAGGTACACCTGTCAAAAAAGATTGCAGTCTTGAATCAACTTAAAACTGTAGTTGGTGAGTTGTATAGAAGAAAAACTTTGTCATATTTGCTGAAACTGTCGCTGTATCCACACAGTAGTACATGAGACAGATCATCATGCTCCTCTGCCTACTCGTACTGCTTCTACTAGCCTTACTGAGTATGAACGAAATAACCAGTTAGAGCAGAGGAGTCTCTAACTCAGATGTCACCCATGTCAATCGCAGCTCGTAAACATGCAGGCAAAATGTCAAACTGATTAAATATGAATCAAGATCCTGTCGCTGCATTACCTATTTCTTGCCTCAAATGTTTTCAGAAAGATATTTTTGTATACTGTTTAGCTGTAAAATGAGAAAGTATGTGATCCGGCGGCCATCGAAATAGTCGAGCATCAAGCACTGCCCACTAACTAGATCACAGATGTATAAATGAAATTAGATAAAATGTTTGTAGCAGTTCAGACCTCACAAATTCAAGTTTAAGATAATTAAATGACTTTCAAGGCCTTTCTATTATAAAATTGAATTTAAGACATTAAAGACTCTTTAAGGACGTGTAGACACCCTGTGTTTCTGAAAACATTTCAGTTTAAAATAAGGGATTTGATCTACACTGTCGAGTTTGACAGTTTGACCTCAGTTCGCTATCAGTGACAGACATGATTGAGAACTGAGTTAGAGACTCAGCTCTGATTGGTTGTTTCCGGTGCACAGCAGCAGATTCTAGCCAATGCAGTTAGAGACGATGAGAAGGAGAGACATGATTGTTTTCACCAACTATCTGTCTCATATAATACTTTGTGGATTTAGTGACAGTTTCAGCAAATGTACCAAAGTTATTTTCATTAAAGGTACCAAATGTAACTTTAATAGGCATTGTGGTAGCTGTCGTTTTTATGCTGTTGAATTGTGTCGTTACACTGAGAGGTGTTTTTCATTTTTGTCCACCCTTTTTACATCAGTAAGTTGAGACTTAAAGCGTGATAACTGAGTGTAAATCCCAATGCATAGGTACCTATAACTTCCTTTATCGAGACTGTTTTTATCTGTCCTTGGTGTGATTACAAACCGAACCACAGCCCCTCTGCATTTTGACCACTTCAGAGATTCAGCTTGAAGCCATATTACAAAACTCTTTTGAAGGCTGCTGATTAAAGAATGGCTGTTTGCACATCGATAGTGATTAGAAACAAAAGGGAAGGCAATGTTGTAAAAAAAAACAAACATATACTCGTCTAAAGTTGGCAACTACTGAACCATATGTCCTTCCTCAGAGATCTGAATAGCCTGGAAATTAAAATCCAGAGAATGTAAAGATGAAGCGGTGCGGTTGTCTGTGAAGTTCGGACACCTCTGGGCAGACAGTCGCTTCGATTCTGCTACTGACACACACATTACCAGAGGCCTTACATTTCCCTTTTCTGCCTTACATTGACCATTGTGTTGCGAGGCCTAGAATGAACGCTGGTCACTCCCAAATTGACTTTACGGAAAAGAATCGACTGTTTACTCTGTGGAAATAGGAAAAGGCCATATTTTCTAAAAAAGGCATTGGCTTGTTTTCACTTTAAAGGAAATGTACAAAGGAGAAATCGTTCACCAACATTAGGCAATCTGTCACTGTCTCAAGCTCTGTTCCCCGAGTTAATGCAATGCCACCGCTGTTTCATCAACAGTTAGCATTCATAGGCTGTATATACATATGCAACATACCTTGGTAAATATTTTCATTGTACAGGTTGTGTATCTTGTAGGTTTTGGATAAAATCATTTTATCCACTCCCTTGTGTTTTTATGTACAGTGTATAAAGAACATATAAAGAACAAGTAAGTCATTTTGGCCTTCTTTTTTTTTTTTTTTATTACAAAACGGTAACACTGTCATGAAGATTAGTACGGTACAGCTTAAGGATAGTATCTCCAGAGAGCAGGGAGTTTTCAAATACAGGATTCACTGCAGTTAACAAAAAAAAAACATGTTTATTTTCCTGGAATCAGTTCACACAAATGCAGATTTGTCCAGAGAATCATAGAGAAACAAAATGTGAGATGTTAAGGTGAGCAGACATCGACGAGTGGGTGTAGAGTATGTAGCCAAACGAGTCAGGCAGGATACTCAACACTTATATCAGCTTCTTAAAGGAAACTTCACCCACAGAATGATCATCTGTATATCAGTGACTCAGCCTGTGATATGCTGTTGTTTTTCTCACATGCCTCCATGGTGAACGGAGAATCCAAAAACAGAATTCTTTATGAATTAGAGTACGACAGCAAAACTATTTCAACACATCTGTTTTACAAACTCTCACACATCTCGTGCCGTATAATTAGAGTCTTAAGAATCCAGTCAAGTGCTCAGTACTCCACGAACATGTGCATTTCCTATGAAAAAAAGCTTGCTGTTGTTAAACGCTGACCCCTATGACTCCAATTCATCAAGAATTTTCTTAGTTTTTGGATTCTTCGTTCACCATGGGGCATATGAGAAACAAATTTTGCTTCACAAATTCAGCCTAACACAGGATAAGTAATTAATATACAAATGATAATTTTATGGGTAAAGTATTCCTTTTATGTTTTTGTTTTAAGTACAGTATGAATTGGCTTCAAATGAAAAAAACATTTGAATGGTCAGACTGTTTTCACTCACACATCATCTGAGTAACAGGTACAGAAAACTGAAAACCTTACACTCTATAGTCGATTCAGGATTCAAACTGATATGTACTCTTTACGCTTTAAAACATGGACAAAATAAACAGGCGTTAATCTGCAAATGTGCAAATTATTTGTGACATTTATCCGTGCTTATCAGTTCTTTTTGCAGATCTCAGTAGATTCAAACATTAAAGGAGCTGTATGTGACATTCAGAGCACATCTGTGATTCAGAGTCTGGGGCAGGATTGTCAGCACGTGACACGGTGTTAACTCATTTTACAGTGCTAACAACGGTGCTGACAGAGCTGCATGTGTTAACCAGATAATGGCACTACACTTCTGTAATGACTCTGTCACAAAAATGGCAGTAGCGGCGGAGAGTAGCTAGCCAGTGGGATACACACACACACAGGAACTCAAATGTTCTAATATGCACACGTGGCCAGACCAGCAACCGCAACTAAGAACAGAGAAGCTCGGATTACAACACACACAGAAGTAGCGTAGCTTCATTCTCTGCTCAGGACACCATTACTCCACTATATCTTTGCATAACAAATACATGTTTGCTGCAATGTTAATGTTCAAAATGTCGCACACAGCACATTTAAAGTCGCTCAGTAATTCCAGCATAAAGTCAATAAGGCAAATCAACAGGTGATAATGGCTTTCAGTGTACAGTACATCAAGAAGACATGTCCCAGTAATTTTGTACCTTCACTAATCTACAGTGACATCACAGGCAACTGTTCAAAATGATGATATAAAATCCACAGCTTCTTCTCAGCATCTTCTACCTGTTGATTCCCAGTTTCCTCTGGAAGGCGTTTCCATCTCCCTTGGTGGCTTGCTGTGGGACGAATGAATGGGTCACAGTTAGAAATCATGTAAGAGATCTTTCACAAATGTATAATTGAAACTTTCTCCTGTACCTTATTGATGTCTTTGTGTTTTTCTCGGCTGACGATCTCCTCTATGATCTCTCCCTCTCCTCTCACCAATCTGGAAGAGAAAAAAACTGAGCTGTAGAAATTATTGCAGGAACATTTTATTATAACATTTGAATTAAGGTGTGTTTGCTCTTGGAAGCAGACTGATCGTCCTGTGATTCTGAACATCTTAACTAGTAAACTGGTCGAATGTACTTTAGCTCACCTGGTGCGTCCTGTTTCTGGGTCCACCACCCTGCGGATCACACTCTGTCTGGCCTCGTACTCCTCCTTGGTGAGGGGCCTCTTGGTGGAGAGTCGGGCCTTCTGCTCATCTGTCATCACTGCAGAGGAAAACAGTATAATACATTAAATATATGGTGGGTGCTTTGGAAAATTAACATTAACACCTGTGTTCCTGTATTTAACTTGCTGGATTAGTCACCTATCTATTTAGATAGAGGATAAAGTTTATTAAGTAAACATTTAGACTATGAATTGTTGTAAAAATACCAATAATCATTTCCTAAAACTAAAGGAGATGTCATGTTTTGTTCAGCCAGTAGTCCAAAACTCAAATGAATTTAAATCCCAGTGATATAAAACACATTTGGGAAACTGCAACCAGAAAAAGTTTTTTTTATTTAATCTTAACAGTGATTCTGATACTCCTTCATCTTTAAAACAACCAGATGGCGTATTAAAAATGTCAAGTAGTGTAATGTCCCACCAGGTCCGAGCTCCACCGCCCCCTCGTCACTCTGCCACACCTCCAGGTAAGATGGAGGCTTGTCTGCCGCAGGACCAGGCAACACCACCTCTGCTGTCTTCTTCTCCTTCTTCTTCTTTAGCTTATCTTTCTTCTTCTTCTCCTTCTTCCTCTGTTTCTTCAGCTTCGCCTTCTTCTTCTTCGACTTCTTTTTCTTGGATTTGCTTTTCCTCCTCTTCTTTGACTTTTCGTCACTCGACGAGGACGAAGATGATGAGGAGGAAGAGGTAGTAGAGGAGGAAGAGGAGCTTCTCCTGCGCTTCTTTCTTTGTGTTTTTACATCTGAGGGGGAAAAAGTTCAACAGTCATTTGATAATGAGACTTTTGTTAGATAGATAGAAAGATATTTCCTTCTCAGTCCCAACCTTGACTTTTGTGTGGTGCTTTCTTTGACGATCTGCTTCGACTCCTGCTGCTAGATGAAGAAGACGACGATGATGAAGAGGATGAGGAAGAAGAGGAGGATCGTCTCCGTTTCTTCTTCTTCTCGTGTTTCTTCTCTCTGCCGGTTCTGTCAGGTGATCTGCTGCGGTCCATCACTGAGACATCTAAACTAACATTAAAACACACGGTAACCCTGACTGAAGCACACAGACAGTAGAAACTGAGCTGCAGCAGCTACAGAAGGCTGGCTGTTGAGTTTACGGAAGTGAGCGCGTCTCCTTTCTTCTTCCGTCGGCGTCCGGTAACACATTTTTAAAGTTCCTAGTTCCTACTTTATTTTATTTAACATACGAGCAGAGTTTGAGTGTCCTCGGTGATGATGAGTAAGCACCGTAGACTGTGTAATAACAATTTATATACTTGATGATGATGATGACTACCGTAAAACTTTAATTAATAGCCCATTTATTTGCTTAAATCAGTGAAATCAACAGGCCTATATTAGGGACAGGCGTCTATATGGGACAGGCCTTTAATTCATTTCACACAAAACTGTTGCTCAGCAAAGATGAGAAATACAATTAAATTGTTTATTCAAACCAGTATGAATATTACATGTTTAAAAAATAGGCTTCAGATAATATATCAATAGTAATCATTTATTTGATCTAGCTCTGACAGACAGCATATCAGAGACAGAGTGAATTAAGACACTCTAGGATTACAGCATCATTTTATCCTGTTAAAACAATACATATTTTTATGAAAATCCTTTTTGATTCGTTTGATCTGAGGACCCATATGGACTAAAGGAATATGAATAACTTACAGGGTAATCGAGGAATGGACACATAATTTTAGGTAGCCAACAACCCAGTTTTATACATTCGAAGAACTACTATAAAAAAATAAAAGTAAATTTGGGGGGGGGGGATTTGTTATTTATGTGACAACGCCTGAAAGTAAACTGCGTCGGACTCCGGTTGGGTTCAGTCAGGAAAATATGGCCCAAGCCGCACTCTAGTGTGCTCACCTGTAAGTGTAAGGGGGATGTCGCCCATGGTGCCATTTAGGCTAGAACCGCCACTGGTGTTAACTTGGGACTAGGCTTTTAATTGAAGTTTTACGTTATTATTATTATTGTTATAAAATATTATTATTTTTTATTTTATATACTTGGTGATGAGAACCAGTGGTTCTCATCCCTTTTCCTTACAATCCCTGACTGAGTATATTTTTTTATATAACAATAATTAAGATTATATTCTATTTATTTATTTATTTATTTATTATAATAAAAGTACAGCTGATAAACTGTACAGTTGCCTCAAACAGTGAAGAAACCACAGGAGGTTTGTGTTAAAGGAGATAATCTCCTGTTAATATTCCCTCAAATGTACATTTTCCTGATATTTGTAGGAACATTTTGCACAACTCTGTGTCTGTATTTTGTATCTTGTAAAAAATGTCAATTTGGAACCACTGGCTTCATCTATAGCAATGCACCATATTTTACAAACTGATCATGTGATTTGTTTGAATCTGAATATGCAAAGAAACAAGAGCAGCAGTCAAATGAAATGTAGTGAAATATTAGTAGAAATTTACATTTATACAGTGCTTTTATAAATGTTTCCACCATTGTTTTTTTTTTTTTACACGTGTCCTATGGGTGTCACTGTTGCCCTTTTATTTTAAAAAAAACAACAACTTTGTATTTAGACTGCAGGGAAATGACTTTTTTCTTATTTATAAGAACAGCAGTGTTACCTCACCAGCGTGTTTGGCTGTTTAGTATGCAGAGTATCATATGAACGGTATGACCCCTGGATCTTCCTTCTGCTCTTAAATAAGGTCCAAGTGAAGAAGATTAGACGTCATGCAGAGATCCAATGAAAACCCTACAAACTCAGTGCACCCTCACAAACCACACCACCTGTTGCCTTCAGTGGGACCTCCCTGTACACTATGGCACCTCCCACAGCAGCAAAACAGAAACAAGAGAGAAGAGAAGTACAGTTGGGAAAAATAATCTAAGGGCTCAGCCTAACTACTTACTACTACTTACTATCAGGTTGTACAAGGACAACG